ACTTCATCATGGCACAAAAGCTACGTAGCTTTTTTTCAGACATGATCCCTTCAAGGCAACCCAGTGGTAGGCTGACATCATGTTTTCAGTATCATTAACCAGGTGTGCAGCATGAAGACACTCTTCAGCACCACTGCCCTTCATGCCAGGTAACCCTCCAGGGAACACACACCACCACCACCTTGACATCTGCAATGCTTGGGTGATGATTTACCAGCATCTTCTCAGGCTACCTAAGCCATTCATACACTTACCTTTAAACACCAAGCACTGAACACATGCAGAGGTAACAGAAATGCTGCATGATCAATATTATATGTCAAGATTCAATACTGGTAATTCCAGCCTTTGTTGATGGAAGTTATCTAGATTTTCAACCAAAAGAACACCTCAAGTTTCAAATGAAGAGCAATTTAATACAACTGTGACCTTCAGTCGTAACAGCAGCACAGCAAACTTTTAAAATCCATTTTAAATTGCTGAACATTATAGTGATAGCCAAAAAAAGATCTCCTAAAGTTCTTCAAAGTGAAGTTTGCAGCAAGCCACCAAGGAACAACGTCCTTCACTTCTTGTCACATGCAGAAACTGAAGTTTTGGTAAGGCATGTTCCTTCACCATAAACAGATTGTAGCCATATCAGGATTTAATTTACAATAGTTTATCAAATGTTAGTAAATGGGTAGATGTTAGAACAGATGATTAACTGTTGAGACCATTCTATACTCAAATTGAACACCTAAGATGCCCTCAGATCTGAGACACTACTTGCATCTAACACTTAGAAATGCTGATGATATAATATGAAATACTGTCAGGACTCATAATTCCAATGCAAAACCATTTTAAGATCACCTTGGAACCTGTGACTTGTTTCCATGCTCATTGCTGGGGGTTTACTTCAGTTTGTTCATCTCACAAGAGAAAGAATCCACAGTAAGAATCCCATTCAATGTAACCTTAAAGCACACTTCCTATGGAATCAATAGGTATTACTGCCCATATAGCTTAGTTCAAGACCATAAAAACTCACCAGCAGTCTGCTTATAGAGGGTTTAATTTTGCAAGGAACTGGGCCAAAGGCCTGCTCTAATCACCAGGATACCAGTATAACTGGCAGCAGGAAAGTAAAACTTCATTTTTTTTAAAAAAAACCCAAACCTTTACTCTTCCCAGAAATGCTTTGCCATCACCTTCACACACCAATAGGTCAGTTAGAGCATTCTTCCTCCAGTAATGTACAGTCTTCAAATATCAGTGAGAGAGCTGTTTCCAGTGAATATATAGCTGTCCTGTGACAAGTCTATAACCTGAGAGCCCTGACATGACAAAGGACTGGTAAAGCAAACTCAAATCTTATCTTTGGAGAAAAAACTTGTAGCCTTTATTCTGTTACTTTTTTAGCTATTTGCTTTTGTACCTAAATATAATGCCAGAATTACTGAAATTAAAAGGGACTCTCATTGTTCTCCAAATGGCACACCATCATTTGAAAATGAAAACATCCATCAAGGGGCTCAGAAATAACACAAAATTATAACCATTCAAACACTATTACTTTGGATCATTTCATTCAGTGAAGCACAAAACCCCTACACGTTTCTGTACTGCATCTGTTCTGTGAAGGAAAACAAAGGCACTACACCCATTCTATGTGAGAATTACACCTTTGGATAAGTAAAAGTAGCCTGAAAGTGTTCATCAGATCTCTAAGTATAATGGGTTTACAATTCAAATCCATTTTTATCACTAACAAGATGTTTTAAACTGCTTGAAATCAATACTCCATTACTAAAACCAGTTTTTCCACTGGTTGCATAGTGACAAAATAAATTCATGCCTAAGGAGAAAGAAAGTGATGTAAGTATGGTGAAGGAACATACATAAGGTATTAGATGATGGTGGTTATGTCTGAAATGGAGTGAAGGTATTGCAATTACAGTCAAAAGGGTTCACACTCAGGGAGTCCCTGAAGAATGGTGTGGTCATCAGATGTGGGAGATTCTGTTGACATCAGCATCACTTCTGCTTGGCACCAGAACTGGTTTTAAAAGCTTGCTGCACTAACATATTAGATTATCACTGAAGGCACGAGTTGAAACATAGGATTATACCTGCTGAAAGAGAATAAATTAATTTTAAGTACAGAAATACCAATGTCATATGAAGACTGAACTGCTGAAGCACAAATCAAAAGAATACACAACTATTGTGGGATGTTGTGCAACTTTTCAAGCACAACTTTAAAAGGTGAGGAGATTAATTTCAATCAAATCCAACTTGCTACCCACAGGTATAAGTTGCCCTGTCACAAGACTAAGCAGAAAAGACACTAAGGAAAACATGAAAGAGCCTCAAGCCCAGCTGCACATGAGAAAGACCAGAACCACCTCTTGCTAGTCAGAGGGACTGAATAATCTTCAGTTTTATAATGACTTAAAATAAATCAAAAGAGCTTTTCAAAGCAGAAGAGTGCACTTCAATTCTCAAAACATTACCATATTAGATCTTTCTTACTACTCTAAACACAAAAAAACAGAAAACATAAGTAGAAAATTACAGATATAAAGTAATTATTCTCTCCTCCCTAATACAGCATAACTTTGTGATTTTAGAAAGCTTCTGGCTAACAAACCCCAAAGCTAAGAGATAGCTACAAAGTCCAGATGTTGATTGTCAAGACAGAGATGCATTTTTCAAATGAGATTTTGTAATCTGCATGTTCTTCCACAGACAAAAAAAATCTAAATGATTCTGCTTTGCATTGGATATTTGGATTTCTATCACTGGCCAAGTCCCCACATGACAGGAACAGCTCTCCACTGACATGCCATGGAGGTTAGAACTTGACAGCATATCAGCTCCCAGGTTAAATCCCAGCATTTAGAGATATGAGCCCTAAAACTGGTGATTAAACACTTGATCAGCTGAGAGCAACTACCTAGATGTGATGCTGCCAACACTGAAGTATCACTGCCTGCTGTAACTACAAAGGGCAAAGGCAAGCAGTACAGTAAGAGTGCTTCTCCAGGGAAGCCAAAAATCATACTAGGTTCTGAGATACTCAGTCCATACAACAGTCAGATACTCTAGGTCCTTTACTGCTGAGAGACTTCAAGATCAATTTTTACTTTGTTCAGATGGAAAAGCAAGGAATAGTCTGGTAATTTAACACAGGGAAGTTCTGCATGCAGACAACTTGTTAAGTGCTTCTAATGGCACTAGACCTAGAGACGTACCAGATTTAAATAGGTACTTGTCTGTTGTCTGAAACATTAATTTTCAGTTTTCATTAGGTTTCTAAATTGCATGTAACCTTACCAATGAATAATCAAATCAATCTAGAGCCAATTTCCATAAGTTTCCTTCTGCAAACACTATGGAGAATTATAAAAGATGAACCTTACATTCCAAATAGTGAAATTACATGTACAGCATAGTGACAGAATCATTTAGGTTGGAAAAGACCCAAAGGATCATCAAGTCCAACCACACTGACATACTGACAGGGCAGAGCATCCTTTTTTCTCACACCAACACAGATGCCCTAATAGATAAATTATTAAACAGATTTCTTTTTCTTTCCTAAACACAAAAGAAGGCATACAAGCCACATCCCACAAAAAAATACTGCTTAACTAAAATTTAAGAACTGAAACTTCAACATATCATTTTTTAAAAATAACAGACGATGTATTTGATTTTTTAACTATTTCAGTGGTCCACAAAACTTTTTATCCAGCACTTTTACCTGTTCCTTGATGTCTTGTAACTGTTGCTGCAGCTTCTGTACATCTGCGTTGACATTGGTGTTGTCTTTGTCTTTCTGCAAAACTGGAATGTTTCCACTTGCTGTAATGCAGAGAAAATAAAGGTATGTGACTATGCAGCAATCTAATGAAACAGGAATAATTATTTCCAGAGTGCTAACTACAGCTTTTCAACTATCTGAAATAATTTTAGTCAAACATTTGATAATCTAATTAAATCCACTATGGTGTCACTGTAGCTGAACTCAAAGGATTTCTTTGAGTTCAGAGGAAATGTTTCTTGGAGAAATATTTCCTCAAAAAGGATACTCAAAATGCCTCGAGCCCCTTAATGTTCTCAGAGCTCTTCTCTGCCAGTAAAGTTCCTGCAGTAACTTTTTTTTTTTCACATGTAAAAAATAAAGCCTAATCCTGTCACACTAAAAAGACTTTTTATCTATACAGCCAACTCTATTTGGTGTTTTAAACTGCATGAGCTTCTTGGAAGCAGTTTGTTCAAAAGCTGAACTCAGATTTTGAAAAAGCTCAGATTAATATTCCTGTATTTGACTGATCTGGGAAGCAATGTTACTACAAGAAATAGAAAAACAGATTTCAAACAAATTTTACATTTCCATTGTGAGCACTCAAAATCTGATTTTAAGGATTATTCTTACATTTATCTATTTGGGAACAGTATGACAAGAATGACTTAATATTATAACTCACAAACTCAATTCAAACACTGTATACTGCAGATACACTGAATACAAATAATTCATAGACTCATTCAGAGGAGTCACAAAAAGTTTAAAAACTAGTCAAAGCAGGAAATTCAAAACTGAACAACCTATCATTGAAGTTACTTGTACCTAGATGCAAAATTTTTGCTTCAGAGGATATTAAGGAGTGACCAAGAAGTCATCTATGTTTCAGCTTCTGCTCTGGATGCTGGAAGCAATCCTTTGGTGTAATGACTGCTGCTGTTCTGCCTCTGCTGCTAGCAGTGTAGAAAGCAGTGCCAACAGCAAGGGGACACCTGGCTTAACTCTGGTTTTACTAAACCTTTCTTTGAAACAGAGAGGAAAGTTTTAGGTCATTGAAAAGAATGAGAAGAGGGAGTAGGTGGGGGAACGTGGAGGAGCCCGGGGGCTGGAGTCACTCACAAATCTCATCAGTGGTATCCTCTGTACCTTTCCCTCCGCAGCAGGTGACGAAAGGCACCCTGCGCTCCACCACCGCCCGGCACTGCACACACTTCTTCATCAGGCTGGCACAGTCTGGGGGGGCAGAGGAACACATCAGCTCTGAGCCCAGCTGCTTCACTTCCCTTCCTCCCTACCCAGGAGCCTGGAACTACACTGCACTGCCATAACAGAAATAACTACTTGGGTTCATCTTCACCTTTTCTGCAGACCAGATTAACCCTATTCCATTTATCTCCTCTTAACAGATGTGAGGCAAGCAGGTTCCTCTCTCCAAACAGGTGTCTATTCCACAGGAATTACAGAATTTTAGAAAAGCAAAATCCCACATATTTGTGCCTAAAACTTCCAAGAAAGTCTTGACTACCTGCTTTTTCCTTCAGAACAAAGGATCTCTTTTACTGTCTTACTGCTCCAGGGGCAAACAGGTGCAGTGCCTTCCCTACATCTTTGGACACAACCCCAATTCTTCTACAAAAGGCAAATGATTACGTCTCATAAATGGTGAAGGTTACTGTGAATCAACAGAATGGGCCCTATAAACTACACAAATTCGATGGCTTGCTCTCATCCTGCTTGAGCAAGATATCTAGAAAATAAACTGTAAAGAAATCACCTACAACTGTCAAACCTTCTGCTCTTCTAGTTACAGCTCAGACTTGGTGATGTGTACTGCATCACTGAAACCCTCTACCACAGCAATCAAGTCTTTTGCTGTCCTCTTCCTGAGAAACTAATAAAAAATCCCCTTCCTTCACCATCTTTCAATGGCCAGCTGGGGATAACTATAAAGTTGGTGATTCAATGTCAAGTCTCTCAGAAAGAAGAGAGGAAGAAACCAGACTTCACCAGTGAGACCAAGCAGCTACTGATGGGAATGATTACCCTCCCTCCTACACTGACCAGCAGCAACAAGGGCTGTTCCTCTCTAGGGAAATGACCCCCCAACAAAGCCCTGAGATGCTGGTGACAAGGTGATCACTGCATTCTCACCCCCAAACCATTTCTGCTGGTCTCCTGTGTCTTTTGTTACCACACCAGCTAAATCAGAGTGAATCATAACTGGTGTTCTTTGCAAAGATATATAGGATGTGCCTCTCAAGGAAAAAATATAGCCCTTGTGCAAATCTGTAGATGAGCAATGAAGCATATTCAATAATTATTTACAATATCCTTTTAAACACCACTTGTACATCTGGATGCCCCAAAAAAGCTGTAACAAAGCAATAAAATGAGTTCCAATTGCTTCAGAAGTTTTAATGATATGCAGCAGGCTTATATAATCTGAGCAAACCTCCTCACTATTAAATAATTCAGATGGGAGAACACTTGCTTTCTGAGTTTTTGAAAGGCTCCAGTATGTCCTCCAATTATATCATTACCAGCACACCAAATAATGTCACAATGCTCACTATAACACCAGACTATCAAGCAAATAGGATGTGAAGTGGTATTACTAACGAGCTTTTAGCAATCTGATTAAAAGCATTCTGTTCCAAGTTTACCTCAGGAAGAACTTCCATCAAGTTTACTTACTCTCACAGGCACACATATGACCACAAGGCTGGAAAAGCACTGCTGCCTTCTTGTCTGAGCATACCACACACTCTTCAATCTGCAAAGAGCAATTACACACATGTATGAGAAGAGTTTCTCTCCTGCACTCTACAGTAATTTTCTTTTACACTCTCTTTGGCAAGGCATGTGGACTTTGAGCTCTGTCTACTGTTATTTTAACTAAATTAGCACCTCAAAATACAACTTCAATGAGGTATCACATTGACTTCTAAGACTAGGTATTTGCTGGCAATATTTGTATGTCCAGTACACTGACAGGCACAGACAAGGAGCTAACACACTGTGTCTCTTTTTCTTTGTTCTTTCTCCTTCTTTGTTCCACCATAAATACTGAAATTGGAGTTGTTCAGCCTGGAGAAGAGGCAGCTTCAGGAAGACCCCACTGCAGCCTTTCAGTGCTTAAAGGGAGCTTGTAAAAAAGATGAGTTAGGTCCACCAACTGGATTTAGCTCCATTCATGACCAGTCTTTGGGCCTGGCTGTCCAGATGGTTTTTACCCAGCAGCAAGTTTCTCCAGGAGGATGCTGAGGGAAAGTGTTGAAGGCTTTACTGAAGTCCAGGCAGACAACATCCACAGCTTTTCCACATCCACTGAGTGGGTCATTATCTCATAGAAGGAGATGAAGTTGGCCAGGCAGGACCCATGCTGACTGGGCCTCAGCACCTGGCTGTCCTGCATATGGTGTGTGATGGCACTCCAGATGATTTGCTCCACAACCTCCCCTGGCACCAAGGTCAAACTGACCAGTCTGTAGTCCCCCAGATGGTCTTTCCAGCCCTTCTTGTAGATGGGTGTCACATTTGCTAACCTCGTCCACTGGGACCTCCTGGTGAGCCAGGACTGCTGATGAATGATGGAAAGCAGCTTGGTGATCACTTCTGCCAGCTCCTTCAGTACTCTTGGGTGTAACCCATCAGGCCCCATGGACTTGTGTATGCCTAAGTGATGCAGCAGGTCACTAACCATTTCCTTTGATTATGGAGGTCTCCCTGTGCTCCCCATCCTGTCTTCCACCTCAGGGGGCTGGGTAAGGAACTAGTCCTACTACTGAAGACTGAGGCAAAGAAGGCATGAAGTACCTCAGAGGCTTTTCCTCACCCTTGGTCACTATGTTTCCCCTTGCACCCCATAAAGGATGTTCTCTCCATGAGAACAAGGGGAAGCAAGCATGACTGCCCAGAGTATTTCATCTGCCCCTGGATCCTGGCTGGGCTGTCTGTAACAGACCATGACATCTGCCTTCCTGCCCTTCCCCCTGATTCCTACCCATGAAGGCTCAACCCTATCATCACCATCAAGCTGTAGACACTCAACTCTCCCTAACACAGAGGGTCATCCCACCACCTCTTCTTCCTTCCCTATCCTTTCTGGAAAGCTGGTAGCCAAGAAGACTTATTTGCTGCTGTGAAACACCCAGTAGCAGAATCTTTACATTGACTATAAAGACAGTCTAGAGAAAAGCAGCTCACACTGTCTACATCTGCCCTTTGAAAACACACATTGCAGAACAGTGAACAGTATAAGAGTGAACAGTAAAACCAGTTCAATTTCTCCACAATTCCTGTATTTACTGTGAGGTTGAGGAGAAAAAGAAGACCCAAAACACACCACAGAAGCAGACTACTCAAACATACTTGGAAAAAGATAAAAAAAATAGCAGCTCACACTGTCTACATCTGCCCTTTGAAAACACACATTGCAGAACAGTGAACAGTATAAGAGGAATAAGAGTGAACAGTAAAACCAGTACAAATTCTTATCCACAATTCCTGTATTTACTGTGAAGTAGAGGAGAAAAAGAAGACCCAAAGCACACCACAGAAGCAGACCACTCAAACATGTTTGGAAAAAGATAAAAAAATAGAGTGGATTTTCTACAGATTAGGAAACCTGTGTGTGGAACACGAGATCTAAAAAACAAACAACAACAAAACAGCCCCAAAGCAACAAGCCACAGTCATTATGGGGAATAAAGGAATGTTCAAACAGAAAAGCAAAGAGGATGTCTCCATATAGTCACAAATACTTGGGAGCAGCTATTTGAAAAACCTGAGGACCTTGTTGGGATTAAGTCCTGGAAAGAGGGCACAACTGGTTGGTACCCTGAAGGAGGATAGCATAATGACATTCATGATTCCAGAGAAAAAAGGTGAAAGCTGAAAGTAATAATTAGCTTCAAAAACAAGCACATATTAACTAACTCAGTTCACAGGCAAATTATCTTTCCAAGCAGCCCTAAGGAATAAAAGAACACAGAAGAAACTGAATATTATGGAGGGAAATTATACTGTAGGAAAAGCAGTAATTTATTTTAACATGGAAAGAAAAAAATCTGTTTAAAGCAAGCATCCTCATGTGACTGTATCAGGGACTCTGAGGACCCAAATAATAAAGACATTGCAAGGAGGAGAGAATGCAGGGCAGGCAAGACACGAGTACAGGCAAACAGAAAAGAGCAAAATTAATTCCATCCACTGAGATACCTATAAGGCAAAATATCAATTAAAATATGCTACAGTTTTCCTTGACCTCGTTTTTCACTTCTCCATTAAAACCAGAAAAAGAACCAATAAACTTTGGAAGGCTTTACCTTTGTCCTAGACTGAACTTGTTCTTTACAGATGAGGCATTTTTTCACCCGTGGTGAGCAGAGGGAGCACGTGGCAATGTGTCCACAGGGGCCAAACAGAGTGTCTCTCTTCATGTCTGAACACACCATGCATTCTTCTAAGGTTTCAGAATCGTTGTTGATCATAGATGGACTTCTGGAGCCAACCTGACCACTACAAAGAAACCTGGCAGTCAAACTTCTTTTAAAATGCTTAAAGTGCAGATCATGTATTTATCTACACTCCCCTATGCATTCAGGCACCAGTGTATGCTCACAAAGCAATCCAAATGGCATTTTCCTGCAGGTACAGTTGACACCAAGGTCCCATGCTCAGCTAGGACATTGTACAGGAACAGGCCACACAGGTTGGGATAGCATCTCATGGATGTACAAAGCCCTTCCCTCCCATCCTAGGAGTTGAGTTTATTACTAGAGATGTACCCTGCAGATCTAGAGCTGCAGCCCACAGCACCCTGCTTGTGAATACACCTGCACTACCCAGCACATGACAGGCTTGTAAAAGAAGCCCTGACCTGGCACTGAATTCCCCTCGGACCTGCTCCCAGCAGAGGGAGCACGTGTTGAACCCAACCAACTCAGCTCACTCCTGCAGCCCTCACCAGCCCATAAAAGGTAGGGAGAAAAGAAACACCCCAGGCATGGGGCAGAGAAAGACCCTGAGGAACACAGGCATCTTACACACAGGGCAGCACCAACAGAAACTGCCTTTCTTCATGACGTTTTGGAAGTCCAGTTTTGATTTCCACATAGGAATTAAGGATCAGAAATCATGTGTGCCAATGGTGGGAACACAACTAGGACAAGTAGCAAGCTGAAACTCCTCATTCTGCATGCACTTGGCAACATGATGTTTCACTGAAACCATAATCCCTAGAGAAGTGCTTCTGGGGCATCAAACCTATCTCCTCTTTTACAGAATCAGAGAAGCATTCAGGTTGACAGGAACTCAGGCCACCATCAGCACTGAATTCACATCAGGTTATACTGGGCTTTGCTCATTCCAGCCTTCAAAACTTGCATGGACAGAGTTTACCCAGGCAACCTGTTACAATGCCTAGTGATCCTTCCAGAGATTCCCCCACCAGCCTGCCCCTTTTCTGGGATGGTTTGAAGCTCTACCAGGTTCTACATGTTGACATTATCCTCCCACCCATATTAAGATGTATGACAGTCCCATAAGACTTGCCCAGGTTTCACTTAATATATTTGTAACTAGCATTTGATCTATCATAGAAAAAAGACTGAGAGAAAATGCTTGTATTTTTAACACTGTTGCTAATAAAGGCACAACGTTTTAAATATATTAGTGACTCTATAGAAAGCAGAGATCTGGAAGCTGCATATTTTATGAACATACAAACCTGACTTTTTCTTTGTGGCACTTAGCCAGTGCTTTGCACAGACTAGGGTCAGGGCAGAGGTCAAGAGGAGACTGACCCTTCTTGTTACGAATGCTGAGGTCAGCCCCGTTGGCTGCCAGGAAGCAGGCAATAGATGCTGCACTCTTCTTCTCTGCTCCCTGAGTGCCAAGTCCCATTATTAACTGAAACAAAAAACCCAAACACGTAAGCAACTTGAGAGACTCTAAACAGTTAGGAACAGTCTGGCTACAGGCAAACTACTTGACATGCAGACATGCAGAAATCTGTGAGCCCAAGGAAGCGTCTCTAGAACCAAAATCAAAACAATCACATGGCTGCCTAATTTTGAGTCAGCTACACTCAACTTTCCTTTAAGGAATTAAAATCCAGCATGGAGTATTTCAGCTATTGAGGCAATCACTCCCCTGCACACTTGCACTGCTTCATGAAGTGGCTGCCCTTCTATATAAGCACTATAAAGGGCAAAGTCCCAGTGGGTATATCCAGAATCCCAAAATTGCTGAGTTCAGACAAAATGCTGCTAGCACCACACCTGCACTGAAAACAGAGTTGGGCAGAGAAATTAATGCACATTTCTAGTCTGGTGAGTAAAGCAGCTGCCCAAGAAAGACTTTATTTCAGTTCCCTTCTCAGCCTGGAGGGATTTAAACTGATATACCTCTCCTAATCACACACTGTTCCTTCACCCTAGACCAAGGCAGATTGCACCTGTAATAAGGCAACTGAAATGACTTTCTGGTGGTGGTAGGGACTGTACTTCAGAAAAATTCTCCTCCCAGTCATCACAACATACTAGATGAAAAACTTCAAAATTATTTAAAGAAATGGGGTTCCTGGCTGATAGCACTTGAACATAGAAATGCTTTCAGATTGATACCTCAGATGTGGAGGACTGTGTATTACCAAGACTGTTCACTACATGCATTTTAAACAGTCTAAGAAATCTGACAAAAATTGCTTTAGGCATTAAAACAGCTTAATGTTAACATTCAGAAGAAAATGATAAAAATCAATGCTATCAATCGTTTGTTGTGGTGTCTCCCCCCCAACTTTTTAATTATTTTAATAGACATAAACCAAACGTGTAATTTTTTTAAACCAAGGATACATATAAAATGACACTAGAAGAAAAACTTAATTATCTGAAA